AGGCCAAGGCAGGCAGATCACCTGAGGTTGGGAGTTCAAGACCAGCCTGCCCAACATGAAGAAACCTCGACTCTACAAAAAATACAAAATTAGCTGGGTGTGGTGGCATATGCCTGGAATCCCAGCTACTCAGCAGGCTGAGGCAGGAGAATCACTTGACTTGGGAGGCAGAGGTTGTGGTGAGCTGGGATTGCACCAATACCCTCCAGCCTGGGCAACAAGAGTGAAATTATATATATACTTATACATATAAATTAGTCGAGCATGACTGCATGCACCTGTAGTCCCAGCTACTTGGGAGGCTGCGGCACAAAAATCGCTTGAACCCGGGAGGCAGAGGTTTTGGTGAGCCAAAATTGTGCCACCACACTCCAACCTGGGCGATACAGTGAGATTCTGTGTCAAAAACAAACAAAGAAAAAAACACACACACACAATGAGATACGACGTCACATCCCAAGGATGGCTCCAATCAAAAGGACAATAAAAATATCAGTGAGGGCCAGGCACAGTGGCTTATGCCTGTAATCCCAACACTTAGCAAGGCAGAGGCTGGAGGATTACTTGAGCCCAGGAATTTAAGACCAGCCTGGGTAACATAGCAAGACCCTGTCTCTAAAAAAATTAAAAAGAAAGACCTTCAAAAGGAAAGAAATTCTAACACATACTACAACATGGATGAGCCCTGAGGACATAATGCTAAGTTTAATGAACCAGTAACAAAAGGACAAATAGTGATGATTCTACTTACATGCAATACTTAGAGTTGTCAAAATTATAGAGACAGGCTGGGCTTAGTGGCTCATACCTGTAATCCCAGCACTTTGGGAGACCAAGGCAGGCAGATCACTTGAGGCCAGGAGTTCAAGACCAGCCTGGCCAACCTGATGAAAATCTGTCTCTACCAAAAATACAAAAATTAGCCAAGCGTAGTGGGGCGTGCCTATAATCCCAGCTACTAAGTAGCTGAGGCACTAGAATTGCTTGAACCCTGGCGGCGGAGGTTGCAGTGAGCCAAGATCACTTCACTGCACTACAGCATGGGCAACAGAGCGAGATCTTGCCTCAAAAAAAAAAAAATCACAGAGATGGAAAGTAGTATGGTGGTTGTCAGGGGCTGGGAGAAGAGGGGAATAGGCAGTTAATGTTTTAACAGGGGCAGAGTTTCTGTTTTGCAAGATGAAGAGTTACAAAGATAGTTGTGATAGTTGCGCAACAATACAAATACATTTAATACAACTGAACTATATGCTTTAAAATGGTTAAGATGGAATGTACGCAGTACCTAGGTCCTGCAAAGTCAGGGAGATGAGGGAAAGGAGAATATTTGCTAATCTGTTAAGTAGTCACTCTGGGTCAGACACTGAGCTAAACTTTTTAAGATTCATTTTAATCCTTATGCCAACCCTAGACTTTATACTAACCCATTTTACAGATGATAAACACTGAGGCTCACAGAGGATGAGTGACTTGCCCCAGATCAAGGGGTTGTTAAGTAGCAGAACTGGGATTGAAACCCTACTAGGTCTGGAACCCCAAAACCCAAGTGGTTTGGCCAACGAGCACTGAAATGAGATCAGCTACCTGAGAGAATAATAATGGGAGTTATGGTAACAGCAATAAGCAACATTAAAAGTATAAAGCAGCAGACTATGAAGAACAGATTTATAGTTAAAAGATTGTTTCCAACTGTAGTATAAAAAACTGTTAGGGTAAACTACAAAAATTTTTTCCCATTCTGTTGGTTGCCAATTCACTCTAGTGACCGTTTCTTTTGCCACGCAGAAGCTGTGGAGTTTGATTAGGTCCCATTTGTCTATTTTGGCTTTTGTTGCCAATGCTTTTGGTGTTCTGGTCATGAAGTCCTTGCCTACTCCTATGTCCTGAATGGTGTTGCCTAGGTTTTCTTAGAGGGTTTTTATGGTGTTAGGTCTTATGTTTAAGTCTTTAATCCATCTGCAGTTAATTTTAGTGTAAGGTGTCAGGAAGGGGTCCAGTTTCTGCTTTCTGCACATGGCTAGCCAGTTTTCCCAACACCATTTATTAAACAGGGAATCCTTCCCCATTGCTTGTTTTTGTCAGGTTTGTCAAAGATCGGATGGTTGTAGATATGTTGTGTTGCCTCCGAGGCCTCTGTTCTGTTCCATTGGTCTATATCTCTGTTTTGGTACCAGTACCATGCTGTTTTGATTACTGTAGCCAAACAAGCCCATTCAAAAGTGGGCAAAGAATATGAACAGACACTTTACAAAAGAAGACATACATGAGGCCAACAAACATATGAAAAAATGCTCATCATCACTGGTCATTAGAGAAATGCAAATCAAAACTACATTGAAATACCATCGCACGCCAGTTAGAATGGTGATCATTAAAAAATCTGGAGGCAACAGATGCTGGAGAGGATGTCGAGAAATAGGAACACTTTTACACTGCTGGTGGGAGTGTAAATTAGTTCAACCATTGTGGAAGACAGTGTGGCGATTCCTCAAGGACCTAGAAATAGAAATTCCATTTGACCCAGCAATTCCATTGCTGGGTATATATGCAAAGGACTATAAATCGTTCTACTATAAGGACACATGCACACAAACGTTCATTGCAGCATAGTTTACAATAGCAAAGACTTGGAACTAACCCAAATGCCCATCGATGATAGACTGGACAGGGAAAATGTGGCACATATATACGATGGAATATTATGCAGCCATCAAAAACAATGAGTTCGTGTCCTTTGTAGGGATGTGGATGAACCTGGAGGCCATCATTCTCAGTAAACTGACACAAGAACAGAAAATGAAATACCACATGTTCTCACTCATAGGCGGGTGTTGAACAATGAGAACACATGGACACAGGGAGGGGAGCACTACACACTGTGGTCTGTGGGGGGGAAATAGGGGAGGGACAGCAGGGGATGGGGAGTTGGGAAGAGATAGCATGGGGAGAAATGCCAGATACAGGTGAAGGGGAGGAAGGCAGCAAATCACACTGCCATGTATGTACCTATGCAACTATCTTGCATGTTCTTCACATGTACCCTAAAACCTAAAATGCAATTTAAAAAAAAAAAAGGCCGGGCACGGTGGCTCACGCCTATAATCACAGCACTTTGGGAGGCCAAGGTGGGTGGATCACAAGGTCAAGAGATCAAGACCATCCTGGTCAACGAGGTGAAACCCTGCCTCTACTAAAAATACAAAAATTAGCTGGGCATGGTGGCACACGCCTGTAGTCCCAGCTACTCGGGAGGCTGAAGCAGGAGAATTGTTTGAACCCAGAAGGCGGAGGTTGCGGTGAGCCGAGATTGTGCCATTGCACTCCAGCCTGGGTAACAAGAGCGAAACTCCGTCTCAAAAAAATAAAAGAGGAAAGTGGAAAAAAAAGCTATTAGGGGTACAAAGGACAATCCAGGAGAGAAGCCATACTCCCAGTATATTGGGACAGTGGAGGTAAAATGGATATAAAAGGGCATGATGAACTGTCATAGGACTCAATCAGACAGGAACTACAAAGCATCTTAGTCTGTGCCTGATACATGTAGGTTCTCCATAAACAGGAAAACCATTTGTCCAGGTTTACCCAAGATAGGCCCTATTTATGTCTGCTGCCTGGGCATAAATATTATTTTCACTTTTCATTTTTCTTTTTTTTTTTTTAATGACAGAGTCTCACTTTGTCACCCAGGCTACAGTGCAGTGACATGAACACAGCTCACTGCAGCATCAGCCTTCCGAGCTCAAGCAATCCTCCTACCTCAGCCTTCCGAGCAGCTGGGACTACAAATGCATGCCACCATGCCTGGCTAATTTTTGTATTTTTTGTAGAGACAGGGTTTCACCATGTTGCCCAGGTTGATCTCACACACTCCTGAGCTCAAGCAGTCGGCCCACCTCAGCCCCCAAAGTGCTGGATTACAGGGGTGAACCACTGCACCTGGCCCTTTTCACTCTTAAAAGTGTCCCAGTTAGCACAATAAATACCATGGCCACACTTTCAATTAGGGTCTGTAGACTAAAAGGAGCAGCTTGTCCCTGATAGAGCTGGATAAACAGTGCAGATTCTCAGACAGGGATCTCCTTGTCTTCCATCTACTCACTCTCCAACCTGGGAGTCCAAGACAACCACAGGGGCCAGCCCTGGAGCAGTGTAGCACTCTATTAGGCCTTCCTACCAGACCCCAGCTCCACCAGCAATGGGGACTCCCACAGTCTCTTGGGGCAGGACCATGGGAGGCCACTCTTGGCCATGATTCCCTGATTTATATCCGCTTTCTTGATCGTAGTAATAACAATACTAATGGCTACACAGGATCATTTTCTTAAGCACTGATTATGTAGCAGGCACTACACTTGCCAAACTAATTGCTCCACAGACATCAACTCTTTTAATCCTCATCCCAACTCTGTTGGGTGGATTATACCACTAGCCCGTTTTACAGAAGGGAAAGCCGGTTAAGTCACTTCACCAAGGTCACACAGCTGGTCAGTTTACAGGGCTGGATTTGAATCCAGTTTTGTCCAACTCCAGCCAAGGCTCTTAACCATTGCATTCCATTGCTTCCTAGGTGGCCACTATGCAACCCAAAAAGCAAAGTCTGGGCATCCCGACTACACTCTCCATAATGAAAACAAATCTTCAAAACAGAATGAACCATCAGGTGCCCTCAAAGTCCCTGTTCTCCACCTACCCCTACTAATGGGATTCTCCAAGTGACCCCACCCTCGTCCTACTCTTTCAGAAAACCCCTTACCTGTTCTTCACACCTTCTGCAAAGTACCTGGCGCAATGCTACAGGCGGCTGTGGTACGGGTCGGCGATCCCAGCCCCCCAGAGTGTCAGATGGTGGGCCGCCCGGAAACCCTCTCCGAAAGAACACACCCCGCACACTGCCCCTGACCAGACACTCTCAAGAGCAAACCCCAAGGCCACGTTAGAGCAAAACCCCATCAGCTGCAACCCCGGCCCGATTACCGCGACCACCAATGCCCCGGCCGCACCTGCAGCCGCTGAGCGTCCCAGGGAGGGTGACATCCTCTTCCAAAACCGAGTCCATCATGGATACAGAGGTGGTGACGGCATTGGTGTCTGTGGCGGCGGCGCCACTAGTTCCCCCCGCGGTAGCGACCCGCCGGGCTCCCCGGTCCCCGCCCCCTCCACCCCAGCTCTTGTTCTGATTCTGGCGGCGCCGCTGGAATTCAAACCACAGAAGCCGCCATCTTTCCCGGCGCTTCTTTCTACGGAAACTAGGCGGGGTCACCGAGGCGCACGCAGTGAAGCCGACCGGCTGGCGCCAGAAGACGGGCAGGGAAGCGGGGTGGAGGGGAGGGGGAGGGCGCCATCTTAACTAAGGGCAAAGCAACCGTGCTTGTGCCAACAAAACTAAGAGAAAAAAGGGCCGGCTGCCATTCTTTGTGAGGGCACTCAGGGCGAGGCGAGGGTAGGTGCCATCTTTGTTGAGGGCCAAAGCCGGCCCTAGTCCGTTAATTTACGCGGGAGATGGGAATGAATACAGCCCCTCAGGAATCTTCAAAGTTCCTAAGCTAGTGTTTGCTTTTCTGGAATAATGACCCCAGAACTTTGGGATTTGGCCTCAAGATGAAACCCAGATAATTAAGGGCTGACTTGCTTCAGAAAAATCCTACATGCGTAATCTCAAGGCAAACAGTAATTTGCAGACTTAGTTTGAAGCAAATAACTAATTCCCACGAGCCAGTGGTCAACAACACTCCCACTCTAGTTTCTCACCTAATGATCTTTTATTACCGTTAGGACTCAAAGGTACCTGTGGTCACAAAACTGAGGCCCAGTGAGAGGAAGGGACTCTCCCAAAGTGATTAAGTATTGGCAGTAAGTCTTTCAACTGGAGCGGGATCTGCAGCTCCTGCCAACTAGAGGAGGGCTCTCTGCATAAAACCCTGGCTGCTTTTCTCTTTCTCTTTTCTTTTTTTTTTTTTTGAGCTGGATGGAGTACAATGGCGCAATCTCAGCTAGGCTTACTGCAATCTCCACCTCCCAGGTTCAAGCGATTCTCCTGCCTTAGTCTCCTGAGTAGCTGGAACTACAGGCGCGCACCACCATGCTCAACTAATTCTGGTTATTTTTTAGTAGAGACAGGGTTTCACCGTGTTGGCCAGGATAGTCTGGATCACTTGACCTCGTAATCCACTAGCCTCAGCCTCCCAAAATGCCGGAATTACAGGCATGAGCCACCGTGCCCAGTCCCTTGGCTGCCTTTCTTAAAGCACATAGCAATAACCAAACATTTAGATAATCTTGGCAGAGCTTAAGCAGTAAAATCAACCTTCCCCTCCTCAGCTCAGTATTGCTACTTCCTCTGAAGGTTGTGAGAACATAGATGAAAATAACTTGAAACAGTTGGCAAGTGGATAGACGGTGACTCTCCTTAGCAATCTTGAACAATTCCCCTTTCACCTTCAGTTTCCTCATTTTTTTAAAATAGATACAGGGTCTCACTGTGTTGCCCAGGCTGGTCTTGAACTCCTGGCCTCAAGCAATTCTCCCACCTTGGCCTCCCAAAGTGCTGGGATTATAGGCCTGGGCCACTGCGCCAGGCCATTCTTCAATTAAGTAATTAACCAATTATTAATACTCTTCAAAAGAAGCCTTTCCTACTCAATTTAATCTAAATCAAGTCATGTCTTGTATTCCTAGCAACACATATTATTCCTTTGTAGCACTGACCATATTGTGTGTGTGTGTGTGTGTGTGTGTGTGTGTGTGTGTTTAAAATCATTTTTTAAATGTCTTTTCTTGCACTAGACTGGAAGCTGCATGAGGCAGGGACTACATTCAGAACTGTTCACTGCTATATCCTCAACACCTAGCACTATGTCTGCCACTTAGCAGCTGTTTGAAAATATATATTAAATGAATGAATTATTCAATCAATTAATCTGGAAATGATGCCAGTACCTATCCTGCAAGGTTTTTGTGAGATTAATCGGAGATACTTTTAGGAGCTCAGTCAATAGTAAATCTGTGTATCCCAGTTTCATATACTATCTCTCTCTCTCTCTCTCTCTCTCTCTCTCTTTCTCTCTCTCTCTCTCTCTCTCTCTCTCTCTCTCTCTCTCAGCTTTAGTGAGGCTTCCAAACTTCCTGTCTCCCTTCTTTCCCTAGATCTTCAACCACTCCCAGAATTAGCAATGATAAGAGCATGAAAAAGATGGAGAGCTTGCCACACTGAGTACACTGCCCCAAAAAAGGGGCAGTCCTTGAAACCAGTAACCAATATCCCTTGCCAGTAAGTTCAACCCTTGAAACAGGTGTGTCCAAAAGCAGGAAAGCTGGGGTGTCAGGATTCCCAACCCAGCTCTGCCAGCAACTCTGTGATCATTTTTTTTTTAAGACAAGTTTTGCTCTTGTTGCCCAGGCTGGAGTGCAGTGGCGCGATCTCAGCTCACCATAACCTCTGCCTCCTGGGTTCAAGCGATTCTCCTGCCTCAGCCTCCCAAGAAGCTGAGATTACAGGTATGTGCCACCACGCCCAGCTAATTTTGTATTTTTACAAATACAAAATTAGAAGTAGAAGCAGGGTTTCTCCATGTTGGTCAGGCTGGTCTGGAACTCCGGCCTCAGGTGATCTACCCGCCTCAGCCTCCCAAAGTGCTGAAATTACAGGAATGAACCACCACATCTGGCCTGGCAGATCACTTCTCTGTGGACCTCAGCTTCTACATCTGATAAATGAGAAAGCTGAACCTCTCAGAGTCTCTCAGGATGTTACAGCTCTGGAGGTGATTTCTGTATTTATTTATTTATTTATTTTCTTTTTTGAGATGGAGTCTTGCTCTGTCACGGCTCACTACAACCATCGCCTCCCAGATTCAAGCGATTCTCCTGCCTCTGCCTCCCAAGTAGCTGGGTTTACAGGCACCTACCACCATGCCCAGCTAATGTTCGTATTTTTAGTAGAGATGGGGTTTCACAATGTTGGCCAGACGGGTCTCAAACTCCTGACCTCGGGTAATCTGCCTGCCTCGGCCTCCCAAAGTGCTGGCATTACAGGCATGAGCCGCCGCACCCAGCTTCTGTGTTTATTTCGAAGCTTCTAACGTACAACCAACTCTCTTCTGTGGAGGGAGGCTAACACTTCCCACATTAAGGAACTAACTTTGCATCTCCAGCCAATGTAAACTATGGAGAATTTAAACAAGGAAGAGGACTTCACATTTTGAGCATGTCGTACATGTCACTTGTCCCAGGCATTTCACAGGCACCACCTCATTTAACCCTCCCAACAACCTCCTGCAGGAGGCGCTACTATTTTACTTACAATTGAAAAGACTGAGGCTGCAAAAGGTAAAAACTACTTACTGAAGCTCCTACAGCTGGTAAGTGCCAGAGCTGGGAATTCCAACACCTTAATTGTTTCAGGTAGCCTGTCATCACCATTTAGGTTTTTCTCTTTTCTTTTCTTTTTTTTTTTTTTTTTTTAATTTTTTATTGGATTTTAGGTTTTGGGGTACATGAGCATAGCATGCAAGACAGTTGCGTAGGTACACACATGGCAGTGTGCTTTGCTTTTCTTCTCCCCTTCACCCACATTTGGCATTTCTCCCCAGGCTATCCCTCCCCACCTCCCCCTCCCACTGGCCCTCCCCTTTTCCCCCCAATAGACCCCAGTGTTTAGTACTCCCCTTTCTGTGTCCATGTGTTCTCATTTTTCTTCACCCACCTATGAGTGAGAATATGCGGTGTTTCATTTTTTGTTCTTGTGTCAGTTTGCTGAGGATGATGTTCTCCAGATTCATCCATGTCCCTACAAACGACACGAACTCGTCATTTCTGATTGCTGCATAATATTCCATGGTGTATATGTGCCACATTTTTCCAATCCAGTCTATTATCAATGGGCATTTGGGTTGATTCCAGGTCTTTGCTATTGTAAACAGTGCTGCAATGAACATTCGTGTACATGTGTCCTTATAGTAGAACGATTTATAGTCTTTTGGATATATACCCAGTAATGGGATTGCTGGGTCAAATGGAATTTCTATTTCTAAGGCCTTGAGGAATCGCCACACTGTCTGCCACAATGGTTGAACTAATTTACACTCCCACCAACAGTGTAGAAGTGTTCCTTTTTCTCAACATTCTCTCCAGCATCTGTTGTCTCCAGATTTTTTAATGATCGCCATTCTAACTGGCGTGAGATGGTATCTCAATGTGGTTTTGATTTGCATCTCTCTGATGACCAGTGACGATGAGCATTTTTTCATATGATTGTTGGCCTCATATATGTCTTCTTTTGTAAAGTGTCTGTTCATATCCTTTGCCCACTTTTGAATGGGCTTGTTTGTTTTTTTCCTGTAAATCTGTTTGAGTTCTTTGTAAATTCTGGATATCAGCCCTTTGTCAGATGGGTAGACTGCGAAAATTTTTTCCCATTCTGTTGGTTGCCGATCCACTCTAGTGACTGTTTCTTTTGCCGTGCAGAAGCTGTGGAGTTTGATTAGGTCCCATTTGTCTATTTTGGCTTTTGTTGCCAATGCTTTTGGTGTTTTGTTCATAAAGTCCTTGCCTACTCCTATGTCCTGGATAGTTTTGCCTAGATTTCCTTCTAGGGTTTTTATGGTGCCAGGTCTTATGTTTAAGTCTTTAATCCATCTGGAGTTAATTTTAGTGTAAGGTGTCAGGAAGGGGTGCAGTTTCTGCTTTCTGCACATGGCTAGCCAGTTTTCCCAACACCATTTGTTAAACATGGAATCCTTGCCCCATTGCTTGTTTTTGTCAGGTTTATCAAAGATTGTATAGTTTTATGTATGTTGTGTTGCCTCCGGTGCCTCTGTTTTGTTCCATTGGTCTATATCTCTGTTTTGGTACCAGTACCATGCTGTTTTGATTACTGTAGCCTTGTAGTATAGTTTGAAATCCGGTAGTGTGATGCCCCCCGCTGTGTTCTTTTTGCTTAGAATTGACTTGGCTATGCGGGCTCTCTTTTGGTTCCATATGAAGTTCATGGTGGTTTTTTCCAGTTCTGTGAAGAAAGTCAGTGGTAGCTTGATGGGGATAGCGTTGATTCTGTAAATTACTTTGGGCAGTATAGCCATTTTCACGATATTAATTCTTCCTAACCATGAACATGGAATGTTTCTCCATCTATTTGTGTCCTCTCTGATTTCGTTGAGCAGTAGTTTGTAGTTCTCCTTGTAGAGGTCTCTTACGTTCCTTGTGAGTTGTATTCCAAGGTATTTTATTCTTTTTGTAGCAATTGCGAATGGCAGTTC